ATATCAGGCCCAATAGACAGACTACCAATAAAGATGCCGCCCAGCTTGTTGTCTACACTTGGTCTCGACTATACTCAACCAGCAGAGTCCGTCTCTGCCCTCTCTTCTACCATCAATACTTGTGCTACTGGTGCTCAGGCTTCCTGGTCCGAGTTGGGCTGCCAAACAAGCCAGCGAAAGCGGCGAGCCGGTAGGCCCGCAGCTGTTGCTGCTGCTACATCAGGTTCTTCTTCCGTCGGGACTTCATCTGCCGTTGAGCCTATTTCTGCTGATTTCATTTCCACGAACTCTCTTCTTCGCACACCTCTCGTTTGGTTGCGTTTCGTTAACTCTACTGCTAGGCGAGCTCGGCGCCTGCCAATTGGTTTGGATCTATTAGATACGCTACGAACATTGGTAGGTTGCAAATCGTTTTTATTTTTTTATTTCGCAAACGCATCTATTTTCCTTATCACAGACCTCGTAGCTAATAGAAGTAAATGCCCATTGAACTTTCAGCTAGACTAAAGCAGTGTTTGACTACCTTTACTTTCTTTTGAAGAGGTAAGTGGAAAGGATTAATAGGTTGGCCTCACCGGAAGCTGTAGAGGGATTACTATGAAGCTGCGATTGCAGTTTTGTGCCCATAAGTCCCCTGCACATACAATAAGACACGTATGAATCCTTGCTGAGCTTTAGTCCGTCATGTAACGGGCATCGTCAAACTTCGTCAGAGGACCTATCCCCACAAATCTACAATCACAGCGGGAGTCGTACCATGACAATTTAGCGTGTAATCTCGATATGTAAACCACTACTCAATATTACCACGAGTGCCTGGCCTTCTTTGAATTTCACATCTGCTTGTGACCCTGGGGCACTCGTGGCAGTGGTGTAATGGTTAACGTGTCAAGTTTACACACTGCACTGATATGGTTCGACTCTTGCTAGGGGTGTTGATAAGACCTAGGCGAGGTCGAGACTGCAGTCCACCTTGGATGAGAAAATCTTTTCGAAAAGCAAGGCTATGTGAAATTCACTGGAGACATCAGCTCTACGCATATCATTCAACTACCAGTTCTTCATCACCTTAAGAGAAATGGGATGAATACATCTCATATAAATGTTAAATAATCTTTATAGGTAATGCAACACAAGCACTTGGGTTGCAGTTCGTGGCATCTATTCAGCCTATCTATCTACCATCATTTACTCAATATGCAACCGTTTATGCGATTCAATCAATTTTTGACAGTGATTACGATTGGTTCTTATTTAAGATTTATCGGTATTATCGAAATCTTCTCTATTATATGGTTATAGGTCATATAGTCGATTATAATTTTGAATAAAACTCTTTTTATACGAAAAGTAACTGGGTTTTGAATGGTCTCTTGGGATGGCACTGCTGGAATGACTTTTGTTTCATGTGATAGTACCTAATATAGAGATTCGTTGTTCGATCTCACCAAAATTTTACGGCTGATTCCCGTTGTTCTGCAGCCGTTCGAATTTACTTCCAGGTTCTGGTTGACTGTCTACATTTCATTGACTTAGTGTTAACTTGAAATCTCTGTAGGAATGAATTCCAGCTCTGGCGATGCCTGCCACATGACGAACGGAAGCTCTTTTAATTTTAATCTAGAACGAATGAGGACTGCTTTAGACGACCACAGAATAACACAGAAATCAGCCTTCATATTTGGTTGACATCGAACTGATAATCTCTTCATCATGCACGAAATTAGTCTTACCAGCAGATAGGTGTTTTCTTCGTCAAAACTCCGATTTTACTTGTGATATGAGTAGGCTTGTCTTAAAATTTACATCCGCTCTGTGATCCTATGGCATCCATTGCAGTGCGACGTTGTGGTAACCTGCCGTAAATATATAACTAACTACTTGTGTTCGATTCCCAACAATAGGGGATATAGTGCTTAGTGAAATGCTTGGCATCATTAGGCCTACTCATATTAGTGTGAGAAAATGTATGTATCAGATTTGTATAACCTTTTGTTAGCTAAGTTGTATACAGTCTTTGGTCAAAAATATTCTGCTATTATCAAAGCCTACTCTATATTAAAAGATCAATGTTGTGGTACTTTTTATTTCATTTGAAAAGATAGGGGACGAGATTAATAAGTTGGCCTTACATGAGATTATAGAATTGCCCTGGACTTGTGACTACATTTATGTTAAGAATTCCTCGGTGTTCCATCAGCTAATTTATGCTGAACTTGCATTAGTAATGGGGCAGACATAATCGGTGCTTGATATTATGTTCTAGAAAAATTTCACTTAGTATTGAATATTTCTATCTTCCTCTTGTAGAGTAACGTTGCTCGCTTAGTAGGCATATTATGATATTGTTGGCTACTCCGCATGCCTACAGCTATTAATCGTTATTTTTAATAAAACTGCAGTTTACAGAATTACATGCTACTATTTCGAAAATCTTAGGTAATCATCTTATTTTTTCTTAATATTTACTTTCTGGATTTTCAAATTATTGGCAGAGGATCTATTCTAAACCATTCACAATATTCATCAATTCCCTGTTATGGGTTATTTATGGATTGAAAATGGCCTTGAGAATTATTTTAAAAAGCTTCTACCTGAATACTTTTTTCATCTTGTTGGTAATTGAGGAGTTAGTGGAACTTCTTCAATTTTCCATGTTTAATTATACTTCTATAATTCTTTCATTCCTATCTAACTCAGCTGTCTGCTGCTCTCGAATGCAGCACTCAGTTGGCCAATCTTTTTCTTAGGCCACATTCCCCACTCAGTCTTCTCGAGGTTTTGCTGCCTCGGCCGTTATCCGCTCTCGAGAAACTTCTGCGCCGCGATAATGCTCTTTGGCCAAGCCAGATTCGTTCGTCTGCCAACCATCCACACCAACATAATTCCTCACTTAGTAGTGAAAGGTCGCATTCAAATAAGAGTGGTTTGGGTGCTGATGCATATACTAAAGCCTGCAAAGAAAACGCAAAGGTGGGTGATAATCGTGCTTATATTATTATAATCTGGGCATTAGTACCAATACTGTTGAAACAACTGTATATTAATGGACAGTAAGCGTAGCAGTATTCAAAGCCTGATAAGAATACTAAGTATAAAATTATCTGGCTATGTGGTTAGAACGTACTCATCTATATTTCCTTATTTAGTCAGTGAATGGATATCCGAAACACAGAATAGATAGGATATGATAGGATTAGATAGAAGGATAAAATTTGGCCATATTTGGGAATCCATGGGGTAAACACGAGGAACAGCCTATAGCAGAAAAAGCCCAGTTTTAACTAAACCCTACATAATATTATTTCAATTATATGACTTTTCAATACTTTATCCAAAGAAATTGTCAGACCACTGTTATCCTGCAATTTTATGGTGACATTGTTTACATGGTCACAACCCTAGACAGCCGAGCTACAAAAGTAAAAAATTGTGATTTTGATAGTTGCAGCAATTAGATTTAATTAGCATAAATCATATATTCATACCTTTTACGCCTGAGGCTTTGAGCTCAGCATTTATTGAGACAATTTTTTGCATTGGAGTTTTATTGCAAGCACAGTTTTTCCTTTTAAGATAGTATATTGAAATAATATTTACATATGCACATTTTTAATTTTCTTTTCAGGCCTTTCTTTACCACCTAGACTCTTGTTTAAACCAGGATCAGTTATTTTCAAGTATCTATAGCACCATGCTATCTGGTGAATCTGAATGGACGCGCCGTCTTCGTGAATCTAATACCGCCAAGTCTACAGAGCCAAATCAGTCACGCATTGTTTACTGCCTTTGCAGGCAACCGGGCTACTCTGGTTTTATGCTTCAGTGCGAACTCTGCAAGGACTGGTTTCACGCAAAGTGTGTTGCTTTCCCACCTCTTAAGGCAAGTTAAATCTTTGGCCGCGTAATTTTAACAAGATGGTTAGACGAAGTATCTTTTATTTCGTTTGAAGAGTCGAGTGGAAGGGATTCGTAAGTTGGCCTCACTGGGAGCTGTAGAAGGATTGCCTTGGAGCTGTGACTAGATTTGTGGGAATAGGTCCTGGATGCACCGCCAAACGGCCACGGTGAATCCTTGCTGAGCTTTCGTCTGTCACATGACGAGCATCATCATAGCAGGGCACCATGCTTAACGATAGTTCATTAAAACACTAAGACAACAAAGGTGGCCGACTTTAAACCTACTTCTTATCATCCAGTTTGTCTCACTTAATGAGGCTTCTCATGATTTAGTTGAATATCCTGTGCTTTAGTTTATAAGTAGGTTCTGATATATATATAAATTTATTTATATGAAATGTATACACCTTATTTCGCCTAATGTGATGAACAGCTACATCCTCCTTCAAAACACCTATATCTTTGATCCTGCAACGTTACTGGATATGATTGCGTCCCGTTGCACACATTCTGTGTGAATGCATTACTCCTGAATTGAGTGCGATAGGAGAGTAAAAACCAGATTCGAGTCTTATCAAGCCTCCTGGTACTTCTCGTTCCCCCTTTAATCCTATCAACAGCCACAAGTAGTTTCACTTAACTTCCTACACTCATTCCTTCTATTCAAGATGCTGGTTGTTTTGTCAATTTCTTTAGTGTGGGGAACGAGGAGTATCACCTACTAAGAGGAGGAGGCTTGAATAGGCTCGAATATGGTTTTTACTTTCATATCTCGCGCATTTCAAGAGTAATGCATTCGCGGAATACTCGTGAAAGGGAGCGCAATCACAGGCGGTAACATTGATTGATCAAAGAAATAAGAGTATTGGTGGAGATGTAGCTGTTCGGTCACAAATGCGTTCGTTTCACGCTTCATCTGCGGCCACTTCACATTTTGACCACAACCACTTAGCCACATTTTTCAGCAAACATTTAGGCAAAGCATAGGATAAGTTGGTTTGTAGTCGTGACTATAGATTTGTGCGAATAGGTCCTCGGTGCACCGCCTTTGGACGCAGGGCGGGATCATTCGAAACAATTTTTCTACTTATAAACTCGTTCTTTTTTATCGTATAATGATTTTAAACATATAGGTTTTCTATGATTTTTCACTATTATAGAGTAGTTTCCTGTTGTACCATCATCTTGTGTTCTTCACAACGCTAATTTGTCCGGCGATTGTAAAGGGATCAGAAATATACATATTATTGTATCCATAAGCGGATATGTATTTGTGATTCTACATAGTCTATATTTTATTTAGCAAATATATCTACTTAGGCGTACGTATACATGTACCATGGTGGGGGGACATATTTTTACTTAATCTCATCTTGTCAAGTGTCACAAAACTTCTTACAATTATTGCCGATTGATCTCGCTTTCACAAGCTGGTCGTATTGTCAGAGGCTTAATTGAACGTACCTTGTCCAGAGGCAATAGTATCGATGTTGATTTTCATTGTTGAATCGTAGATGCCATGGACTCCCTGAAAATACTATTAAGCTGTAAAAGCGAAGTCAAACCACTTCTAAGCAACAAAAGGAGACCGCGCCCACTACAAAGGTCACATCTTTGTAATTTTATCTTCGATTAGTGCCGATTTCTTTACCGCCTCCCAAACAAAGATTTAATTTTACTTTTAAAATATTTTTTTGGCTATTCATTCTCACAAGAAGATAAAATGATGATGAACTTGATTTTGTCAAGCTATTAGAAATTACCAAAACCACATTTTATTGCCAAATAATCTTTTTCAGATTACTTTAGGCTTATTATCCCAATTACTTTTTCAAAAAACCCACATTTCCTTAAAATATGCAGAATCCTGCACGATTAATTTCATTTTTTATATTGAATGAATAAGTGGGGTTTAATCCGATAATTATTTTCAAATAGTGGTGAGTTAGTCATAAGTTTGAATTATCATTTTTGCGTGATGCTAAGTCAAAATATATTTAAGTTTTACTAGATGCTTTACTAGCTAAACCTGTTGAAATATATCTGTAACTAGGAAATTGGGGCAAATTGGTCAGAAAACATCTGAATGCATCTGTATCTATTTTCACGATGCATGACTTCCTCAGGGGGCTATTTTTATTTATATGAGTTGTGTTTACCCTATTTTGTTTAACTTGAAGTTGAATTTTGGGTTTTCTAATTTGATTTAATCCAATTTTTCTTAAACTTATTGTGTTTTATTGACTAGCTCTTGGTCAATTTTTATTTATTTAAGCACTCTTGATTTTTAATGTGCTAGTGAGTTTAAGAATTCCTACCTCAGGGTTAATAAGTGTTTTTAGTCGAAGTTTTTCCTTTATCTCCATAGACTTCTTTTGCTATTACTGACTTAGAGATCATTTTTAATATTTTTTCTTTTTACATTCGATTATAACTTAACTTTTAACTTTTAACTTCCAGGATGTAGACATGCGCAGAGTGAGATTCACCTGTCCCAGATGCGAGCGCTCGATGAGACCAGAACTGTCCACTGTGTTACGTTGTATTGAAAGTCTTAGGGCTTTCATCGACGATAAACTGAAGCTTGTCTACTCAGATATTGCACCTAGCTCCTCATTGATGATGCGCTTCCCAGAAATCATTGCTGCATGCTTACTTGTGCAGCGTGCCCAGACCTTTGTAAAGAATACTCGATCTGTTATACTGGTAAATATTTATTCTAGAGTTCTAAATGATGATTAGGACGATTCATTTATACTTAGTATTCTATTCCACGAATATTTTGACGGCAACCAGTATGTTTCATCTGCTATACTGCTTCAGCTCGTTTCGTTTCCCAGAGGATAATAGTCCTGTTTGATAGCTGATAGCGTTTCTTGGTTCTCTTACAAGATTAATAGCCAATTTATGTATTAAATCGATATAGTCTCAGCAATATCAAATTATCCTTTATCATCTTATCCCGAAGTGGCTCACTTTAACCTCTTCAATCTGTTGGAGCTATTTCGCTTAAGATACAATGACCATAATCCACATTTTTAATGCTCGTTTTTTACTAGTAAAACGAAATGAAGTTTGTTAATATTTAGAGGCTAAACATATACTTCATATATAAGCATTGTGTTTTTTACTATTTTTTTCTTTTTATTGCACTTTAAAGTCGTCCAATGAATTACGTCATGCCGTAGCTGAGTATGAAGCTTTTTCGGGCTCTCAGATTCCCCTTACGGATTGCCAAGACGATGGATCGCAACAATCAGAATCGGTTCGTGGCTAATCATTTTCTTTCGGAGATTCTGTTATCATTTATCGACTTTACAAACTTCCTTTGTCTACTAGTTTTACTTTCAAGCATTTTTGAGCCATTTTAAATTTTACTTGCTCAATTTATTCTTCACCCGTTAGTTAATATTAGGCCCACTGAAATATATATATATATATTACGTTTTGGAGTTATCAGAATTTAGTGATAACTATTTGGTGAATTTCCTTGGTACTTTCTGATTTTTAGAGAAATTTTTTAATTAATTTAACTGTACAAAATAGGCTAAAATAGAGGGGACTCGTATAAATATTTGCATGCTCTATCATTTTAATCTTATGCGATGCAATAAAGATGTGCGAATTGTATTCTAATTTACTGAGTACATGCAAATGTAGACTTTGCCTTTCTGAAACTGTACTGAGCGATTCCTGCATTCAGTAAGGCAGGATGAAGCTGGACAGATGGTCAACCCGAAGATTTTGTCTATAATACTCACATTAATGGATTACCCTTCTTTGTCTTCAAAGCTACTATCTTAAATTTGCTTGTAGTGTAAAAAAATATAGAGGATGAGAAGATAGATTTGAACGGTTGTAAGTATTAAGGGAATTCGTCTTACAGACATTGTTTACATTCTTTCTAGTCTAGTCATCACTTTCGAACGCAAAATATGTTAGGGATCTATGACAACCTCAATTATACTTTCATATTACAAAAGAGTCGGTTATTAACTGATTAAAAAATAATTAAAAAATGGCATTTCAATTTAATTCAGCCTTGTTTTAAGTAAAATTCTCTTTAGTCTTCAATCTTTATATATTTTATCATGTTTATTGTTCCATTAAATTCATTGTTCCGTTGTGTCTGTCAGACACAGCTCCATTAACACTATAGATAATTGTGATAATATGACTTCGTCTTCGCAACTTACCTGTAAATACAGGGAGAACTTGTGAAATATAGCTTGTTTTGTATCCCCTATTATAGTATTCATGATGATTTCCAGCATCGGGCCGTTGACTTGGTACATTCCCATACATTTTGCCAGGATCTTATCGACATCATCAGAGAAGCGTCATCATAAGCACGGTTACAAATTATCAAAGTGACCAAGTTTCTTTTCAACCATTGTGGCATCACTCCTCGCTCCTATTTTTAGTTTTAGCTTCTAGTGCTACATCTCTGTTTCAATTCAACTTCTTATGTATAGAAGTTGTTTAACCTTGGTTTCGAACTCAGTCATATTCACAAGAAGACCAAGAGGAACGCACCTTGTCCGAAGTCCATAGTATGCATGATAATTTCCAGACTCGGACCGTGGACTTGTTACATTCCCAGACGTTTCGCCGGTATATTAGTCGGCATCATCAGTGAGTCTTGCCAGTCTTAGCAGCCAAGCTACAACTCGTCAAATAGACAAGTGAAGTCGTTAAACAATTGTGGAATCCTCCTATCCGGTCAACCTCTGGAAATTATCATGCGTACTATGGACTTCGGGCAAGGTGCGTTCCTCTAGGTCTTCCTGCTAATATGACTATGATGCGAAACCAATTTCAAACAACTTTTATACAACGAAAGGATATCGCGACCACACAAAAGGCCACGCCATCCTGGTCTTCATACCTTTAACTTCTGACCTATCTACTTATTCACACCATTTTCTATTATCATTTCCTCTTATATTACATGAAAGTGTGTCGCTTCTTGTGGATTTAGTGAAGCATAATCACCTTCATCACCGGTTTCTGATTACGTTTAAGTGGAGTCGGTTTTTTCAGTTCATTTTTCCAAAACTCAGAATCTGTGAATCATAGGCTTCTTTTTTATTAACCTTTTTATTATCAAAATCTTTATTCCGTAAGTATAGTTAAACTGGAAGATAAGTCCATTTTCTGCATGTGATTTATTTTCGGAACAGTTTTTGACTGAGAGTTTCCTCTGATTAAATAAACTCCATATCCAATAAAGTTAAATGTCCGTTCTCTTTCACATCCAGTGTAAATTTGACTTTCATCTGTCGTTTAAGAGGATCTGTTGTCTTTTTCTAATCAGGTCCTAGATCATTTTAGACATTTTTCTGTCATCTTGTCTAGTTTTAGTAAACCCCGCTGAGTAAGAATCTGATTCAAGTTATGCCATAGTCTGAAGTTAATGTCCTAAAACTGAAATAATTTGTTCCTCTCCCTATCATATGTATTTTCTAATTTTTGCTCTTTAGCTTGTTATAATCTATCTTTGATCTTTGAAGATATGAAGGCCAAGATGGTGTGGCCTTTTGTGTGGTCGCAGTTTCTTTTCGTTGTATATCGGTTTTTTGTCCTTGTTTTCGCAACTTGGTCATATTGGTAAGAGAACTTAGAGGAACACACCTAGTCCAGAGTCCATCGTATGCATGATGATTTCAAAAGTCGGACCGTGGACATGGTACATTACCAGATGTTTCGCCAGCATCGTAGTCGGCATCGTCAGTGAGTTTTGTCATTCTTAGCACTACACTACAACTCATCGTAGAGAAAAGTGAAGCCGATCCTTTGACCAAACGTGTGCTAACCAGTTGTGGTATCTATCCTTCTGTCCTGGAATATTCACATTTCCTATATCTTCGTATCACGCCTTTACTGTTACAATTTTTGCCGTGCCTATTTAGATGTAGTGTGTTGTGCCCTTTTGAGCGTTCTCACCCCCCCTTCACTCTTGTGCTGGGAATGTTGATCAGAGTCTGCCATATTGTTACACAGTCCTCCTTCCCTAGGTCTTATTAGGGTCTCCCTATTCCCCCGTAGAATTCGTCTGCTATCGCCCTGGTTCAAGTATTTCATTCGATCTCTGCCACCCTATCTGTGCTACTCGAGGCGTTATTTCCCACACTACGTCTGAGTGACTAATTCGAGGCTAAAGCCTCCGAGTAAGTCTCATGATCAAGTCTTTGCTACGTGGACCAAGTCTCTGGTAAAACCTACTGTCAGCCAACTAGCTCCAATATCCACCGCGTATATCCTGTTTCTATCCCTAATACCATGTCTATCACTTCCTACTTCCTAGTCTTGTGTGCCAACCCACAAATGCTGTGGTACTGCTTGCTTTGTTTAGGTTCAATATTGAACCACATCGTTGGTGGGTTGGCACAAGAGTTAAGGGACGGTGAGAACACCAGCTTCGAGTATGGAGGGTTGACATGAAAGCCGCTCAAAAGGGCAAACTACATTACATATACATAAACACGGCAAAAATTATAACAATGAAGACGTGAAATGTGAATAGCCCATAGCAGAATGAGAGATACCACAACGTTTGGTCAAAAGATCGGCTTCACTTCTATCTTTGACTAGTTTTAGTATGGTGCTAAAAATGGCAAAATCCACTGATGATGCCGACTGCGATGCCGGCGAAAGGTCTGCGAATATACCACGTCAACGATCCGAATTTGAAAATCATCATACATACGATAGACTCCGGACTAGGTGCATTCCTCTAAGTCTTCCTACCAATATGACTAATTTTCGAAAACAAGGTCAAACACTTTCTTTCTTTGATCTTGTTGGATTGATGTTTTTTTATCAAAATGCAAAACTTAGGCGAGATGCTATAATATTCATAACTGTTACGAAATGTCAAATGACAATATTGACATTTTGCGGATTGTATTATTCTGATGAGAAACCACAAATTGAATCATGAATTCATTTTCTAATGCTTCTTAAATTAATTTTTTTCCCTGCTGTATACTGTCACTTTTAGCTATTACGAAGGCCATTAGACCTTGAATTGGTCCTTTCCATGATAAACAAACGACAGCCCAATAATCTGCAAATATTTTATTAGTCAAGCAGACTTGGATTCTATATTTGGGTCATGCATGCTGACAAGAAATACCATGATAAATGGCTCGACCTCCAAGTCTAACGGCAAAAATGAACTTTTCTCAAACATGTGGAACTAAGTGCTGCTCTCTTTGAGTTAATGTAATTGAATCAGACCTCACTTAATGCAACTAAACAGTGATATAGTCATCATTTTCATGATGTATCTTTTAAAGTATCTTTAAAAAAACGCATTTTATTTCTCTCATTTTCCATCTAGAACGCTATTGCAGGAAACTCAGAAACTTGTGGCTTGATCAATTGGCCATCAGGTCCTGCAGAGTCTACGGGCTGTTTAAAGAGTCAGCTTCCTGCCAGTGAAAGGCAGAATGATCAATTCAGCAATGTGTCTCTACTCTCAAGGCAGCCTCCTTCCCACTATAACGACCGCCACCACCATCAACCTCTCCTTACCTCACAGCCACTTACTGCAAGCCATCGAATCACTTCCCCCGTTGGCCCTCTTGTATCCTCTGGTCTTCTTGAAACTAATAGTCACAACTCCAATACCAACACTTGTCCTAGCAATCTGACTGCTCATGTTATGTCGACAAGTGGCCAGGTAATGAGAGGCAGTAGCCATTTTCAACTGGAGCACTCGCAGCAACAATCAGCTAAACGTACTCAGCCAGTTTTGGTAACTTCAAACATGACGCCTTCTTCAGGTCTGGTATCTTTGGCAGGACACACAGGACTTCTGACGAGTTCGGATGGTCTTTCGGGAATTACGTCTACCGGAGCCTCATCTGCTCTTAGTGCTACAACAGGATCTATCGTTGGCGCTGGTCATCACAAACAAGGAGGAGTTTTGATGCAGCTACATGTATCCTCGGGAACAGATCAGGTTAGCGACTTTCAAGATGATATTTGCGCAGTCTTTCAAAATGTTAGGTCACTTGTGACTGGATATTATAGCACAGATTACTTCCACATAGTTAAAAATCGGTATCACAATCACTTGGTGTCAGCAACAGATTGGTCGCAGCCATCAGCCTGCACTTTATCCGTATTGGCGGATTTCGTGTTGTGTTTATAGGAAATTAGATAGGTAAAGGACTTAATTTGACACAAAAATTCATAGCGTCATGCTTTACATTATCCATTCTCCTCCACAACAGATTACAATTTCTTCCATTCCTTGATCTCACCAGCAATCCTATCGAGATTTTTATTCTGGATGCTTAGCTTACAAGTTCTGTTGCATGAAGATAACATGTTTGCTTTTCATTTTACATATCGACCGCTGGGCGTCATATCGTATATGATTATCCTGGGAAGACCACAATAATGCTCACTATTTGTTTTGAGTAGGATTTTGCGAATAAGAGTGATTATCACCCTGATGCTTATGGTAATTAAGGGCCAATAAATTTTCCCACACAGCTAAATAGGTCTCACTATTTCATTGAATTTTATTTTGCCTTATTTTCTAAAATATATTATCATGTAGAATAGACTACAGTTTCTATCTTGTCGGGGTTTCCTTAACACTCCAAGCGGAAATCTAATCAAGGCAGTAGAGCATATAATTTCGACTTCTAATCACTACGTCGTACTGCCAAAGGTGTAAATCGATCATATTGTAGAAATGAATTTCAAAGCAAGCTAGACATCTCTCATCTTATTTTTGCGTTGGAATTGTATCTGCAGCAAAAATATATTTGCTATTACAATCAGCAACATTACTTGGATTCGTTTGTTTTAGGATCTCGGGACTGTCTCCTTAAGGGTGGCCCTTTGGCACTGAAAAAGTGGGTCTGGCGGCATTCTTTAGGTCAACGGATTAAAAATTTATTATTGAGTCTTAAATAGTTAATAGGCTATCTTTTTACGATGACTTAACGACTATTAAGCTAAGTTTGAGATTTGCTTAAGGTATG